ACAATTCAGCAAGGTAAAAGAATTTATGACTAGTGTGCATGCTAACTTGTTAATCTGAGAAAAAAAACTTTTGAAGTGATAATCAAGCTAGCCGAGTACAGACAGTTTGATAATAAGTGTGAGAGTACTTACAAGGGGAGATAGAGTCAATGTTTGTAATGGCTCAGCCATTCCCAGTCCTTATTCAAACCGGAGTTGATTGTGTCTAGTTTGCATATCAATTCTAGCTCACCAGTCTCTATATGTTCCATTCTATATGCATCCGAAGAAGTGGGCTGTAGTCCACGAAAGCTTATGCTCTAATAAATTTGTTAGTCTCTAAGGTGCCACAAGTACTCCTGTTCTTCTTTTTGCGGATACAGACTAACACGGCTGTTACTCTGAAACCTGTCATACATAGGTTATGTAACTTGGTCTAAGTTCACACAGCAAATGAGTGATACAGCTGAGAATAAAACCCATTCTGTAGACTTTCACATCTAATCTCTAACCACTAGGATAATGACCTGCATTCACCCTTGACTTGTGAGGCTTACAGTGAATCAAACTAATTTGTATATAAACTGCCTATAGTTATTCCCTTCTTCTAACCTCAAGAATTGTGAGTAGGAAGGTTATATTACCTCTGAATTTATAACTATAATGACCACTGCTAGAATACTGTGTCCAGCTCCAGCACACACAATTCAAGAAGGATGCTGATAAACTGAAGAGGGTTCAAAGAAGAGCCACAGAATGCGTGAAGGATTGGAAAGCATGCCTTATAGTGAGAAAGTGAAGGAGCTTAATCTACTTAGTTAACAGGGACTTGATCACAATCTATCAGTACCTACATGGAGAACAAATATTTGATAATGGGCTGTTTTATCTAGCAGACAAAGATATAACAAGATCCAATGGCTGGAAGTTGAAGCTAAACAAATTCAGACTGGAAAAAAGTGTAGATTTTTAACAGGGAAGATAATTATCTATTGGGACAATTAATTGTGGTGGATTCTCCATCACTGGCAATTTTTAAATCAAGATTGGATGTTTTTCTAAAAGAAATGCTCTTAGTTCAAACAGGAATTTATTCAGGCAAATTCTATGGCCTGTATTGTGCAGGAGGTCAGATTAGGTTATCACAGTGGACCCTTCTGGCCTCAGAATCTAAATGCCATCTATCTATCTGTGTATTCTTAAGAGTATGAGCTCTTCAGAGCAGGTACCATACTTCTAGAATGTTTGAAAGCACTTAATGAATGTTACTATACATAAATAATAAATAAAATAAGGATTATCTTTATTTGTAATTAATACTTTTTAAAAAAACAACAACAAATAATCTAGGTCTTAGTATCCACTATGTATAAAGTCAACATAGAATCTGTGTTTTTTTCTCAGTACTAGCTTCAATAATTAATTAAATAATGCATAGTACTTACATCGCACTTTATATCTTCAAACTGGTGTGCGTGTATTAATGACTAAATCTTTACATCACACTTATGAAATGGGTCAGTAGTGACCCCATTTTACAGAATAGGACATTTAGACAGAGAGATTATGTAATCTGGAGTGATTTAACACACAGAGTCACTTTCAAAGTCAGGATTAGACTTCACGAGTAGATCAGATACAGAGTAGATACAAAATGGAACAGCTTCAACAGAAGAGATATAGAGAAATTCAACCCAGACTAGCCGATGGACTGGGAGTTAGGGCATTCACATGGAATGGGTGAGACCTGGGTTCAAATTCCTATTCTAGAGCATGAATTCAAAACTTCGTCTCCCCAATCCCAGTTGAGTGCCCTAGCCACTGGGCTAAAATTATAAAGTCACCACCCTCCCCAAGCCTGACATTTTTTTTCTGGCTGAATCTGCATTATTCAGCAAATAAACTATTTGTTCAAAAAAATTGCCCAGTTTTACTTAAGAGTTCTTTGCTTCCCATCTAATGGTTATTCCACAAGAACATGCCTCTTTTCTTGTAAGTAACAGAATGGTGCATAAAAGATATGTTTCAAAAGGCTCCTTGTAGGTCATCCATGAAAATACTAATGAGACTTGTGCAACTCTGCTCTTCAGAGGTTCTTGTTGCTGCCACTTCATTTGCAACTTTGTCTCTTATAATTTTTTATCTTACACAACTACTGTATGATTGGAGTTTCTTATACTTTTAGTCTTAATACTTTATAAACCCTTATGCAAATGACAAATAAAATTAAAATGGGTTATTGTTGCAGGCAAAGGATGTTTACCATTGGTCAGCCTGAATAAGTCTAAAGTTTTAGAAGATAATTAACTTGATGAATTAGACCAAGACTGCAAAGTCCAGGCAGTCTGTCACCCCTCTCCTATCTCTTCCTCTTATGGGAATTAACACAAAACATCACACTTTGGGGGAGTGCTTATATCAAACAGGAAAGCAATATTGTGCGTACCTATCTAATGACCCTACTTGTGCTGACAATTTAATTTGAATTCAGTATCTTCAGAAATAAAAGCATAAGCCCCCTACTGCTTGAGCCTCCTACCTTATCTGGTGGCTGTAGGAGACAACCTCATACGTGGAGCAGCTGACACTCTCTTAGCGTGGGTTACACTTACTACATAATTTTCAAATATTCATGACTGGCTATTACCAAAACAAATTTCTTCAAAGAAGGGAAAACACATTCTACATTGAGGACTACTTTCTACACCATATGTACTAAACCCTCTGAGCTACACAAAAGCACTGGAATGTGAAAAAACAACCAGCCAAAATTCTGCCCTGCATTGGGATAGCTCAAAAAATGAACACTTGGCTTTTTTTAAATCAAGTGGGAGAAATTCCAAAGTATTTTTATAATATTATAGTCGAAGAAAAATAGAGGTTTGAATCTAAGATCCAACTTAATGTTAACTATAATATTACTGACAAAGAGTCTTGTGGCACCTTATAGACTAACAGAAGTATTAGAGCATAAGCTTTCGTGGGTGAATACCCACTTCGTCAGATGAATGTAGTGGAAATTTCCAGAGGCAGGTATAAATATGCAGGCAAGAATATATCTGCCCCTGGAAATTTCCACTACATTCATCTGACAAAGAGGGTGTTCACTCACAAAAGCTTATGCTCCAATACGTCTGTTAGTCTATAAGATGCCACAGGACTCTTTGTCGCTTTTTACAGACCCAGACTAACATGGCTATCCCTCTGATATAATATTACTGTGATACTGCAATACTTGCTGCCTATTTCTCTTATTTCATGTATGATAAAGGTAAAATTGAAAAAAAACTAGAACAGAAAAAGACAGACATGAAAAATCCTCTGACGTATCACAAACAAGCTGCTAAAACTACATTTTATATTTGTTATGAACACCTGCCATTGAGATGAAATGGTAGACTACTTTTCATTTTCATTCATAAGTGACTGCAAGGAAAGTTTTTTATTCTATTGTACTCTCTGGCATTTAATTCTTTGCAGACTTTCACCACTCCCATATTTGTCACCTTTTTGTTGTAAATCTCTTCTAAATCAATTGTCATCTCTATATTTCCAACACTGGTTTTTTAGCCTTTGATTCACTACCATTTCTATCTTCTAATCTTTTTTACCTCTTTAACAAACCTTCTTTTCTTACTTCCCCCCAACTCATCAACTATTTTTATACTTTCAATCCCAATGTCTTCTTTTTAGTGATGCCTGTATAGCAAATGTTTCCGCACCTATGTACGTTAGTTTCCATATTGTAAAAGACTTTGCAAATTGAAACACACTAGCTATTTCTAAGGTGTAGTAATTTCACGTGTCTAGCAGATGGTGTAATTTATATGCTAAAATAACACCATCAAGTCTTATTCATTAATATACATTAATAATGTTTAGACATATACAGTAGAAACTCAAGAGTTATGCACACCTCGGGAGTGGAGGTTGTTCATAACTCTGAACAAAATGTTATGGTTGTCCTTTCAAAAATTTACAACTGCACATTGCCTTAATACAGCTTTTAAAATTTACTATGCAGAAGAAAAATGCTGCTTTTAAATCATCATAATTTAAATGAAACAAGCACAGAAACAGTTTACTTGCCTTGTCAATTTTTTTTTTTTAAACTTTCCCTTTATTTTTTAGTGGTTTACGTTTAACACAGTACTGTACTGTATTTGCTTTTTGGGGCGAGGGGTGTCTCTGCAGCTGACTGATTGCATACTTCCAGTTCCAAATGAGGTGTGTGGTTGACTGTTCAGCTCGTAACTCTGGTGTTCGTAACTCTGAGGTTCTACTGTACACAAAAAAGTAAATTCTATATTACACCCAT